ATAGAGAGAGAGAGAGAGAGAGAGAGATAAATAGATAGATATACGTATAATATGAAAATTTGGATGAATCATGCTGAAAAATTAAATATTTTCATGATGAATGTGACAATACATCTTTTCAGATTTGGATGCCGAGCTGTCTTTATCATTTAAGTAATCGTAAAAATGTGACTGACCTGTGGGAGAAAGTATTTTTTGAAAGATTCAGAAATGAAAGATCAGCGCAACACCCCCTCAGAAGAGCCCCAAACAGCTGTACAAGACACAGGGTGGAAACGGTTAACGTGCACTGAAAGCTGCACACAGAGAGAAACACCTCGCGTCAAAGTTTGATTTTAATAAAAGAGACGTTCCACTCACAGAGTCAACAGAGCAGTCTGTGCCTGACAGATCCAGGTGGACCAGGCAGTTGGGCTGGGACAAGAACAGATACAAGTTCTGCAAACAGAACGCCAGAAGAACAGAAGAGGCGTCACATTAGGCTGGCCAGGGGAACAAAGAGAATGAAATGGAGCAGAGTGTTCTTGTTTCCAGATGGATCGTGCTGTCTGACCGAGGCATCGTCCCCGGAGAGGACCCCGGGGTTCTTGCTCAGGTCCAGGTGCAGAAGGGAGTTGGAGTATTCATCAGCAGAGCACAGAGCCTGAGAGAGAGACACCACACCTGAGAGACAGAGACACGGAGACAAGGATGGAAAAAAAGAACAAAAAATAATGAGAAAAAGAAAACAGACAAAATGCATGTAAAACATTAAGAGACTGGAAATCTTCTCATCACTTCTTACATTATTCATACAGCTCTGGGAGCAGGAGGTATCAGTAGATGTTATATGAAAGCAATTCACTGCAATATTTAAATTCTCCACTGAGTAGATGTAATATGAGACAGTAACTAGAGCCCCAGAGCCTGCAGGGCAGCAAGAGACTTCAGAAGTCTATGAGGGAGTCAGAACAGGCCAAAGATGAGACATCGCTCTGAGAGGGGCAAACATCACTTCCTCTCAATCACTGTGAGATCACGGGAGATCTGCAACAGCTGCAGGTTAAATAAATCACTTCCTGTTAGCTTTGGTGAGATGCCAATATGCATACAAGTAAATCTTTTTGGTTCTTAAATATAACAAACAGAGCAAAGAAGAATAAGAGACAAACACCTTTCGAGGTGAGTGATGTCTTGGACAGATTGAGGAGACGAAGTCCTTTACTGAGACGACACACCTGCTGGATCAAGTTGGACACACCTGCAGCATGCAGATAGAAGACACACATGCACTTTCTCAATAAATAGATAGAAATTCAGAAATTAAACTGGCAAAACTGTAAATACATAAAGAAATTAATGGTCTTTAAGATCAATGATCAAAGATAATAGATCTGAAATTAAAGCTTAGTAAAAAGTATGTTTCGTTCAGCAGCACCCTCTTCAGGGGTTGCCACAGTGAGGGAACTGTCCATCCATCCATCCATCCATCTATCCATCCATCCATCATCTTCCTCTTATTCAGAAGTCGGATCATGGAGGCAGCAGCTTGAGCAGGGAGGTCCAGACATCTCTCTCCACAGCCTCTTCCAGCTCTTCTGGGAGGACTCCAAGGTGTTTCCAGGCCAACTGAGAGACATAGTCTCTCCAGCGTGTCCTGGGTCTTCCCCGGGGTCTCCTCCTAGTCGGACATGCCCGAAGCACCTCCCTAGGGAGGCGCCCAGGGAGCATCCTTACCAGATGCGCAAACCACCTCAACTGGCTCCTCTCAATGTGGAGGAGCAGTGGTTCTACTCCAAGTCTCTCCTGGATAACTGAACTTCTCACCCTATCTCTCACGGAGAGTCCAGCTACCCTGCAGAAGAAACTCATTTCAACCACCTGTATCCAGGATCTCATTCTTTCAGTCACTACCCAGAACTCGAGACCACAGGTGAGGGTAGGAATGTAGACTGAGCAGTAAACAGAGAGCTTTGCCTTACAGCTCAGCTCCCTCTTCACCACAACGGACCAGTACAGAGTCCGCAATACTGCAGACGCTGTGTGAATCCGTCTGTCAATCTCACGCTCCATTCTTCCCTCACTCGTGAACAAAACTCTGAGATACTTGAACTCCTCCACTTGAGGCAGAACCTCACCCTCGAGTCCTCGATCCAAAGAGTGCAATCCACCCTTTTCCAGTTGAGGACCATGGCCTCAGATTTGGAGGTGCTGATTCTCATCCCAGCCACTTCACACTCGGCTGCGAACTGCTCCAGTGAGAGCTGAAGATCACGGCACAATGATGCCAACAGGACCACATCATCTGCAAAGTGCAGAGATGGAATCCTGAGGCCAAAGTACCGGAATCTCTCCACTCCCTGGATGCACAGAGAAATTATGTCCATAAGAGTTATGAACAAAATTGGAGACACCGGGCAGTCCTGGCGGGGTCCAACTCCCACCCTGAAGGGGCCTAACTTATGGCCGGCAATGCAAACCAAACTCTTGCACCGCATGTATAGGGACTGAACAGCTCGTAACAACGGGCCCCCAATCCTAAACTCACGGAGCACCCCCCCACAGTGTACCTCGATGTAACACAGTTGAATGCCTTCTCCATGTCCACAGAACACGTGTAGACAGGATGGGCAAACTCCCATGACCCCTTGAGGACCCTAGTGAGGGTAAAGAGCTGGTCCAGTGTTCCTCAGCCAGGACAGAAGCTGTATTGCTCTACAGGATCTGAGGTTTGACCAACGATCGGACTCGCTTCTCCAGTACCCCTGAATAGACCTTCCCAGGGAGGCTAAGGAGAGTGATGCCCCTGTAAATGGAGCACACCCTCTGGTGAGGGAACTGACATGAAAGATTTGGCAGTTGTTTTACACCAGATGCCCTCAGTGATGCAACCTGGGCTCAAACCCACAGCCTCAGGGTAACGAGGCCACGGCACTCACCACCGAGCCACCGCAGCCCTGAATTATATATTCCTAGAATAAATGTATGCCAACATTTTAAACTAAGTTCATTTTATGAGAACATAAAATGTTCATCACTATTATTTATGAACTGACAACTAATAACTTATTTGTCAATAGTTTTCTAATTTTCCAGATGCTTCTCAAATTCTAAATTCACTAAAAACAGCTGGATTTCTCAAATTTTTGGTAAGAAATCATGTATTTTTGGCATCTGGTAAGGATTTTGCCACGTAAAATAATTGCATTTAAATATGTTTCCCACAAATTCTGATTTTTATTGACGAGCACTTCTTCTTTTGTTCCTTCGAGGAAACGACTTGTTTGCAACGAAGATGTGGTCATCTTATGTTGAGAAATGATGAAGTTAGAGCGGCTTTGATCCAGTATTGAAGATCATATTTTACATGATCCAGTCATGCTCAGAGTATGCGTTGAGGAGGACTCCCAGCTACTACTAGATCTAATTCATTATCATAAAACTAACAGAGTTATCACCGTTTTGTGTTTTTTCAAAGGTCTCTTGTGGCCATCTTGAACCAGGTTCACTGAAAAACACAATTAACTGCAGGCATACTTTCAGTGTTTACTCTCTGAGAATTTCATTACATTTGTCAATTGGTTTATGAAATATTGTGCTAACAGACAGACAAAATAACTTGCTACTATTTCTATGGTTAATTTAGTTTTTGATAGATTTGCGGTAAAACAAACCAACAGAAACAAACATTTGATAAATGTGTCAGAAGCCTGTAAACTTGCTGTTTTCAGTAAATTGAAGAGTTCTCATTGTCTCATGAAGACAATCAACACCATCAGTCAAAGAAGCTCTTTTTTCATTCTATTAGTTATTTACACAGAGAAAACCACTTGTGCAAATCAAAGACAGAGGGATCTTCTTGTTCCTACCTTGGTTGTCCAGTGAGTTGTGCGCCAAGTTAATGGAGTGGATGACGGACGCAGGATTCTCTGAAAGAGCAGCTGACATCTTCTGAGGGAAGTCGCTGGTCACAGAAACACAAATCACAGATATCCAATAACATTTTTTTATTATGACAAGCTGTTGTTTTGATCATTTCCTTCATTGATGCATACAAATATTTGGTTTCAAAGTATAAATTGTATATCACAACCTTCAAAAACCCATAATGAGACCTATGTTACTTTTCTTACCCATCGCACCTGGATGTATCCCAGGTGCGATGGGTTCAATGCAGAGAGCCAGTTTCTTCTTTGTATGGGAACATACAATGATGACAACACATAGCACTCTATTTATTAATTAACTTCAGCACAAATAACAAAACCTTATTACGTGCTTATGTTTCTATTAATCGTGACACATCATTGGAAAAAATCAGCATCACCATAGTCTCAGAAAATCTTTGTTTGAATCTCAACAGCACAATTTATAATCTATAGCCTAGATAAGACAACCAGTGTAGATTTTCTGAGAAACCAATGCTGACTGCTTTGTGGGTAAAGGGAAGTGAAGTCTGAGGTTGTCATCATTGTATGTTCCCATCCAGTGATGAAAATAGTCTCTGCATTTAACCCATCACACCTGGGATACACGCAGGTGCAGCAGTGGGCAGCTATGTAAGCCCCCTGGGGAGCAATTAGGGATTAGGTGTCTTGCTCAGACGACATGCATGTGAAAATGGCTGGGAGTGGAACCAAGACTTTCTGGTCCCATGTCGGCTGCCCTACCTCTACCCCATCTCGGCCTCAAGGAGAAGAAGTGAGGAGAGGAGCTGTTGTAGGTTTCAGTTTTAAAGTAAAGAAAACAGACACGACGTGTTCTGGGTGAGTCAGAATAAAAAAAGTTTATGAGCCTTCCTATTTGGTGGGGGCTGAGATGGGGTAGAGGTAGGACAGCTGACATGGGACCAGAGAGTCACAGGTTCAACTCCCAGCCATGCTCACATGTTGTGGTGTCTCTGAGCAAGACACCCAATCCCTTAATGCTCCCTGGGTGCTTACATAGCTGCCCACTGCTCCACCTGGGTGTATCTCAGGTGTGATGGGTTAAATGCAGAGAATTAATTTTGACATTGTATGAAAACGTACAATGATGACAGCACATAGCACTTTACTTTATTTTATATAATTACCCCAAAATGTTTGAACTACATCAAAAGGGAAGTTCATTTAACTGCAGGCACTTTCCACTAATAATACCACATGACATCTGCAGTGCCTCATTTTCCAGACGGCTGCCTCTCAGATTTAAAACTAAACCATTGAATTTCTTTAAAAGATTAATCAGAGTTTGACATTTCCAGCAGGACCCCCCCCCCCCCCCACACACACTTGACTGACATCTACAAAGCACTTCTCATTAAAAATGATCAGACTACAAGAGAGAGACACTCCTCATGTGAAATGTTCATGAGTTTAGGACTTAACACATGACAGCTCAGATTATTTAGTCCTTACGTTAAAAACTTGATTAAAAAACAAAAACAAAAGATGACAGGTGAGGAAGTGGGAGGGGCCAGAAAATTAGCCTTTCCATGGATTTCATCGTCACTGAACAAAGACGGTACCTTCAAAACGAAGCCATTTTAAAGCAAAAGAAAGTGTTTTTCTAGAAGAACTTAAAAAATGCAACACAAATATAAAATATTTAACAATGGACATTAGGTTGGATGGGATTACAAGCTCCTGAAGGGACTCATTAAAACGTATTAATTAATCTTATATGGTTCAAGTTCCTGAAACACCTTCAGCTTCCATTCTGCAGCTAAACCCGTACAGCCTGGTGAATGCAAACAGTTTTACCACTCCGCATGTCAAATTTATATCCAAATCTTTTGCTTATTAAAATAAAGTCAAAATAGATCTTTTAAGCATTAAAAACTTACGATTTTAATCCAACGTTCTCTAAGGTGATCTCTTCAAGACTGGAGGATTTGCTGACTGTGTGCAGGACCTGCTCAGTGACCTCCGACCCCTTAAAACATGCAACAAAAAAAACAAAGAAAAGTCAAATTAAAATGGATGAATTCAAATAATTAATACAACTATCACGACTGCATTTTTTATTCTGGTAGTTTACTTTGAAAGAATTATAAAACAGAAACTTTGGTCACAGATGAGTTCAGCTTTGGTGTCAAAACACACGCTTCTCACTCCAGATTGATCACTTGTGCTGGTGAAAAGGAAGGCAGGATTAAACAGGATTAGCAGCACATGTCTGTTTCATTTGCAGGTTTTTAGCTGCAGGACTTGGGGTGAGTAAACTTTAATTCACTGCAAGTCCCAATCAT